GCCGTTAGATTTTTTGTTCGTTCTATTATTAAAATTAAGTGCGATATGTTGTAGATTTTTTTCTATATAAAAAAAAGTATGGCTCTATGTGTGTGTCGGTGTGATTGTGTTGGTGCATGTATCACAAAGTGTGTTACACACCAGTTTTGAAACTATAATTATAAAATTATTACACATATGGGAATTGTATGGCGGCGAAACAACACACGGTGCGGTACGGTCCTGTGCCAAGCTAAGTTTTGCGGTTATTATTTGACACGCACTTCATTTGTGTTCTGCCGTACTTTTTTCCTACTCCACCTCGTCCTCCTCTCTGACACAAATGTCCAAGTTTAACAGTTCAACAGTTCATTGAGCAGTTGAAAACAAGGTAATGCTCCCATCGACATATCTAGAAAAAATTTAAAAAAATAACCAATCAATTGTTATCCTGCTGCTCCTTTCATTTGCCATAAGCGGCCGCCTTTCAATTGCCAGATAATTGAACCCTCGGCCCCAGAATTAATAACAAGCCTCGTGACACTTTGTGGCTTTGTGTGTTAAGTGTGTTGAGAAGGTGACAGGTGTCTAAATAGTTTTGCTGTGACACATTGGAATTTTCAAATTGTCGCCCGGCTGCGGCCGCCGCCGCAAAAACGACGATTCTAATGTCAAAACAAAACACAAATAATTTCTATAAATATGGGTTTTAAGTTGTCAGTCAGTTGCACGATAATGGGGTAATGGGTGTTTTACTTTCTGAAACCATAGGAGGAGGTACGGTTTTGTGGACAAGAAAAAAAAAACGAACAACAACTTTTGTCAATCGAACTCATCAATTTGAATTTCTTTGAATTGAAAAGTTTTCGTTTGTCAGTTCGAGGTAAATATATATTTAGTAGACGCCCATTTTTTCTAAACTAAAAAGCTTTGATGTCAAAGTTAAAGGGGTCTAACTTCGAAAATTACAAGAAAAAAGTGGGAGTGGTTGTTATACGAAAAGTCAAATAAAATCCAGTTGGAAAAGTTTTCAAAAGGAATTTTATATGAAATGTGAAATATTGAATAAAATGCTTACTTGTTGGCTTCCTAGTAAGCATAGATGTAAGGAGAAGGGTCTCATCTTAACATAGACAAATAACTAAACTGTACAATATAATGAGGTTATCATCAAAGTTGAGATTCTGATTGATTTTCTCATTAAAAATAATTCCTCTGAAGAGCAGCTCAAAATAAATCTTTAAGAAACTGCTTGCCAGACTATTTACCGGGTAAGCTCAATGCAAACAAATCGTAACAAACAATTAAATATTTTCATCGTTTCGATTTTAAGTAGAAATTAGTAAACGGAATTAGTAAACAAAAACAATCACCTTACAATTGTGATTCTTTGGAAGCATATGAGTAAGCATAAGGGTTTCATTTTAACGCAAACAAATAAAAGATATATAAAATGTATTTACTTTGTCATCAAAGTTAAGATACTGTTCGATTTTCAAATTTATTCATCTGAAGAGGAGCTTAGGATAAATATTAGGAAACTGATTACCCGACTATTTACCGGGAAGTCTTTTGGCAAACAAGCCCTTCTAAACATAAAAAATATTCTTGTTTTATCTATTATATATTGAAATGCAATATTTAAAATTTGTCTTTTACATTTAATATTCAACAAATTGCTGTCTTACTTGGTGATTCCATGTAAGTATATAAGTAAGCAGAAGGGTCCCAACTTAACAAAAATCATTGGCAGAGCTTGAGATCATATTCTGTACAACATTGAAGTGACAATTTTGATTAAATGTCCTTAAAATAATAATTATTTTGTGGAGAAATTCCTAACATAATTTCAAGAAACTGATTACTTTACTATTTACTCACAAATAATCCAATATAATTTTTCTATTCTCAATTTCAAGTTTCTGGAAAAAAATTGGAATTCCATAAATCAAGTTTTGCATGTCCTTATTTCATAATGACACATGTATCTCATTTTATCTGTCCCCGAAGAAAAAGAAGAGTCACAGATGTAGATGAAAGAAAAACCTATCAACATTTCCACTGACATTTAAAGTGCTAAAGACAATTTTTTCATAACTATCTTCGTTTTTCTGTTCGATTGCTACCAAACTGCCAATAATTTTTTTCTTTCTCTCTCGTAAAATTGATGGCAATAGTTTGTCGTCGTTTTCATTTTGGAACACACACAAAGCGTGCAAGCTTATTAATCGTCTCAGAATTTTAATTTTGTCCGAACGTTGCTACGTTTTTTTATTGATCTTTTGTCGGTATGAATAGTCAGTTGGGTTTATCGGCTTGCTTTTAAAGATCTGTTGGAAGTGAGGTTTTTTACAATTTATTTTATTTTTTTTCTCCAGCTTTGTTCCGACGTTCATTACAACATAAACACGCAACGGGAGGCCGAGTTTTTTTTGGTACTCATCTCCAGCTCTCCGGTAGCCAACCAGCCAGGCAAAGTAAAATTTTTATATGCTGTTTTTTCTTTGTGGCACCATGGTCCAGCAGGCTCATCCCCACCTTCCATCGTTCATAACTAAATAAATTCAATGAAGACCATCAACTGACACGGCTGGATAGGTTTGGCGTTTTTGCATATTGGACACAAATGTCTGTCTGTCCCCAGCAAAGCTGTGTGGAGCTGCACATGATCACACGGTGGCGACGACGGCGGCGGCGTCTTAGTCTTCGGCAGGCTCAAAGAGCCAAAGCAATTGGCTTATCCCAAGACTGATTGAATAAATGCAACAACAACAACACTATCCTCAATGAACGACGACGAACAACAACATGAATGGAAGCTGCCGCCATCTAAAGCTGCTAGATAGATATTAATTCTGCCATTTTATCACCGATTTGTACAAGTAAAACATACATCACTACGAAGTACGAGTATGTGTATGGCATATCACAGTATTTATGGCATATAGATATGAATGGAGATGGGAAGGCAACGGATTACTGTTAAGAAAAATTACCAAAGAAATTAATTCTTTTCTTAGAGTAAAGACAAATTCTGTGGATTACTTTGATGTGACTGGTAAGCATACAAGTAAGCAGTGGGGTCCCAAAAATCACTAGACGAGGATAGGAGGGGCAAAATAGTTTCTGCTACTCATAAAAATAAATTATTTTATATTGTTTCATAGAAGTTATAATGCATTGAAGAAGAAATCTAAAGATAAGGTCATGAAAAGTGATTACTTAACTATTTACTTAGGAATAAATTAAGTAAAAATTAAATAAATTTCAAGATTTCCTCCAACCAAGAAAATAATACATAATTTTTACCATTCCTTGCTGAAAAAAGAGGATTTTTTCTCTATTAACCAAAAAAAATTAAAGTAAAGACAATTTTTCCCGATGACTTTGAAGTGCCTGGTAAGCACACAAGTAAGCAGAGGGTCCCAAAAACCATTACACAAGGAACATAGTAGCAACATAGATTCTGCTACCTCTAAAAATAAATGATTTTATATTTTTTCGTAGAAGTAACAACGCATTCACGAGCAATTCTATGAATAAAATCATGGAAAGTGATTACTTAACTATTTACAGAGGAAGTTAAACGCAAAAGTAAATAAAATTCGAAACTTTTTCCTGCCAAGAATGACGATACATATTTTAATAATTCCCTGCTGAGATTATCAGATTTTCTTTATCATATCGTTTGATAATGTACCAAGTGTCAATGCTGAAGGTCAAATGACTTACTTACACCTTCTTAGTAAGCATATATGTAAGCAAAGGTATGTATTAAAGTATAATTTTAAACATATTTCTTCCTAGTATGTTTTTAATAATTATTTAAAGAAAAATATAGTTATCAGAAGTCCACAAGAACGCTGTATTTTTTATACAAATAATTTTTTTTTTTTAATATAAATATTTCTTTTCAATTTGTGTTATGGAATTTTGTTACGCCCAAAAAAATAGGATTTGAATTCGCTGAGCAGCAATTTAACAGGATCTTATTTATCATCTGAAAATTGTCTCTCCAACTCCACGAAAAAATTCAATTCATATTTAAAACGAGAGTAAATTACAAAACACAAAACAATCATCAGCTAAAAATTCAAAATAATGTGAGAAGGAGATAGAAAGGCGATAAAGGATATGAAAATGGAGAAAACAGTCTCAAAATGGAGAAATAATCTCAATAAGTTATTATGTTATAAGAAAAATAATCTGCAGATTCGGAAGATGATTCTCATATTCAACTTTTGACTTGAAGGACCATTTGAAGGAATTAGGATTTTTCCTAGTAATTAGGTCACAAATTTGGTATCTCAATAAGTTATTAATTATTCCATGATGGGGATCATATTGGGCATTTGAAATAATTTGAAGAATTTTCCAGTAGTCGAAGGACCAACCGAACGTATTATTGGAGGTCGAAGGACCATTAAAAAGAGAACAATTATTCCTAAATGCCCAATAACGAAGGACGAAAGGTCATTAATTTTTTTTTGACCTAGTGTATTGGAAGTCGAAGGACCATTAAAATGAAAATGGGTTTTCTATCAAATATATTTTATTGATTGCTTAATGAGTAGTAATATACCTCAATTAAAAAAAATATGACGGATATTAGAGCGGATCGAAGATTTAAGATTTTAATAGGAAAAATGGGATCTTTAGAGAGTTATAACACAATGACACAGTTCTTATTGGAAGTCGAAGGACCATTAAAAGTACATTGGGAATTATTTTAACGATATTTTATTTCAAACTCATTGGGAAGAATTGTCGCTCATTGAGAAATAAAAGTGACAGTTATTTGAGCAGGTCGAAGGACCATTTAATAAAGGGAAAGGGAATAAAGAATTCTATCGGGAGTCTTACTTCACATTTATTATGAATTTTAGCTGATAACTGTCGAATAACATATTTTTGCCGATGATTTTTTTTTTTTTTTTGTATATATAAAATGATTGGGTACCTTGAAGCCCCCATTTATTTATAGAAGTAAAAATTTTGTTTGGTAAACAAAGAAAACGTACAGTACTTACAAATCCATGTTTATCACTAATGTTATTGGTCAGCTTTAGTTTATGAAATGAGACAACTTTTTGCATCCACTGTTCACCGGTTGTGGGTGAATCGGGATGGATGTACATGCGTTTGGGCATTTCGGGATCGGCCTTGCCGGCAATCATCCAGCGGCTATAGAAAAAATTATACAAAAAAGCAAAAGGAATGTATTAGAAAAATTAAACAAATATATAAAATTAAAGTTTGATAGGTTCGGGAGAGGATTGAGTAGGTTGGGAGAGGTTGGAGTAGGAGGTTGTGAATTTTTTCTCCTTACTTACCTATTGTGAAATTTATAACGATAATCATCGGCAGCCACAATATCCAACAGTAGAATATATTTCGCCTTGGCGTCTAGGCCAGATACACGAAATTTCATTTGCGGGAACATTTGTCTGGAAAATAAAAAAAAACAAGAATTTATTATTTTTTTAAATTTTTGTTAGAAAAATCCCTGAGAGGGAAATAATTACAACAAAAATTTTCAAGAATTATTAGTTAAAAATCCAACAACAACATCATGCCTCTTAAGCATTATCATTATCGAGTTTATCATAAGCTCCTCCAAAAAAATGAAAATAAACAGGCGTAGAGGTTCGTGCGGTCAGTTGCTGACTGGTTGGTTGCCTGACTGTTTGGTTTATGGCCCGATCACCGTAATGTGGCGCCAACAAAAGTGCACGAAAATTTAAATTTCAAAGTTATGTCTAAATGCTATGTAAGAATGTGTGTGTGTGTGAGGAAGGCTACAAGTATGAAAGCCTGGCTGACCGGCAGTAGCTTTTAAACCACCATGCAGCCAAATAACCAGCCAGCCAGTAGAGTAAATTGATATTTGTTTTGCCAAAAAGGACTTGCTTGCAACATGGTTGCATCAACACCATGGTTGCCGAGAACACGTTGAACAGTTGCTGCAGTAACTGCAACTACCACCAGCGTTGAAACGAAATAATGGTTTAGATTTGCAGATCCCTTAGCTTGGCTGTATGAAGCCACCCATTATTAGCGGCCTAATGCTGTGGCTTCATTTGTCCAATTTGGTGAAATTGTTGTGGCAGCAACCACAGTTAGTTAAGTAAAAACAAACATTTTTATTTGGTCACAAACGAACGTGTTGAAAGGCTGGGATGTTGAGTGAAAAAATCCAAAAAAAAACGCCAGTGGCGCCCAACATTGACCATGCCAAACAGCCAACCAACAGCAGTGAAGTCAGGCTAATATAGTGACGGCCATGCAGCATTTTCGAGAGTGCATTGTGGAACTCACGGTTTTTGTGGGGGCAAAGGGAAGAGGAGAGAATCCATCACTTGGCAATGCCACGAAGTCCATGCTCCTGCAACACTTAGCTCCTTCTACGTTCATCAATATTCTCATTTATTTCGTTTATTATTTGCTGCTCGTCCACCAGCAAACTACCTCACAAATATGAAAATTATAACTTTGCAACAGCAATCACTCAATCTTTTTTCGGTTCTCCAAGCCTCTGCAGAGGCAGAGAGGAGAACCAGACGCCAACAACTATCCTGGCTTAGACTCATGAATCAAATTTAACGAATGTCTCGTCGTCTCGTAAGTAACGACGTTGATCGTCATCATCATCCTCATCGCCATCATCATCACCATATTATTAACAGCCGCCAAGCCGGACAGACACACAATTCACGGCGACAGACGTCAGCGAAAAATCAACAAACAAGCCCACTAAACTACATAGATTGTCCAATTGTATGGCGATCAAAAAGCAAAGAAAAAAACGAAAAAACTGGGGGTCCAACTCATGGTTGGTATCCCTAAAAAAAAACAGGCCAGCTCATGATTCTATCTGCACTAAGCCCAGGACCAGTTGTTAAGCGGCCAGCATAAATGTTGTTTTTTTTTCTCGTTTTGTTGGTCAATAGTTAAGCGTTCACCTTGCTTCCTTCCGCAGCAAACTACAACAGTTCCCCAACGAAAAAAAAATTGTTGCCGAGGCAATTAACAGGCCAAGGGAAAGCCGGAGTTTTTGTGCCTTATAACGAACGCACATCTCCACATCTTCTGTGTGCCCCCCTTTTTTCGCAGACACTTTATCCAGAGTCTGCCGTCTACCCCGTGTGTGTTTCTTTTTGGTAGACTGCATTGCCCTGGGCTTATTTTCAATAACTCGTTAACCATTATTGAAAACTTGGCGCCAGTTGGCAGAACTCACACCAACATCATCACCCGGCATCGAAGTCGTCGTCATCATCATAATCTTGGTCGTGCTGCAGGAACCTCAGCAGCAGCATTGGGCAAATGTTGTCGCCTTCTTCACTACATTTTTTGGCAACACAACAAATCGGGGGCCACCACACACGCGCTTCGCCAAGAATCGCACACTCTCCTCCTCTTAATGTGCCTTCTCTGCAAACCTCGTTTGGCGCATCAATCTAAGACACAGTCGGGCGAAGCACCGCACGCGTGCACTCTCGCGAGAGTAAGTATCGCTATTCTCTCACACACATTCAACTGAACCAATTGAAAAACCATTGACACACACACAAAGACAAGTGCGTGAGAACAGAATTTTTTATGCTCTGCCCGTGCCTGATCTAAGATCTCCATGGCCAAAGAAGATGCCCTTGGTTGTTGTTGAACAAAGCTCACAGAGAGCAGCACAACCAAACAACAATTGATAACACATTGCCACATTGCTAATTTTTAGTGGTAAGCATTGTGTTTGGGGTCCTACGTCTTTCCCTGGATTATGCTGTCGAAGTTGGCGCAGGCGCTGCGCCCATCTTTAAGGTTGGTTGTTTGTTTTTGTTTGTTTCTTTTTCTTGTTACCAAATATATTATTTTCTGCCTTTTCTTGTGAGATCTTCTCTGTTTGATTCGTTTGAGCGATTACCACTATTCCCCAGTGGATAAGGCCAGGCAGGCCAAAAAGAATGAAGATCAAAACAGTTGTTAATCAAAAATTTGTGGTTGAGTGTCGATAAGAAAAAAATGTTAAAGGGCGAAGGACCATTTAAGCCGTTTTGGGGAAAAGAGAAGATTAGGGTTAAGGGCCTTAGAAATGTGATTGATGTCGAATATCAAAAATATTTAAGATTTTAGTGGAAATGCAATAGAAACATCCATCGAAGGACCATTTGTAAAAATAACCTCCCTACTCGAAGGACCATTTCAGTTACTGTACTAAAGGGTAACATATTAGCTGGGTACCCCAAATTATAGTGGTACGTAAGTCGAATATCGATTAATCCAATAAAGGAATATACCTAGTGAACCCCAAAGACTATTATTAGGGTCGAAGGACCATTTTAAAAAAATCACAAGTGGGTTCTATGGACTAAAAAGGCCAAAATCCAGTGGATTGGAATATTTTTCATTATTTTAAGACGTTACAAAAAATTCTGGGATCTCAATAAGTTATTATTTAAACAAAAAATATTAAAAAACCAAAAACTATTATTAAACCCGGATTAAGAGCCAACTGATACTATTTTCCCACAAAAAATTGTGGAATTTTAATGTGTTATTAGCAGATTATTATTTACAAGACCATGATATAATTTCTAAGTTATTCAAGACATCGAAGGACCAACAAATCCCTACTTGATTATCATTATTCGTCAAAATTATGACGCTGACTTTTGTTAGTCACTTTTGCGAAGCTCTCGCTTACCATAACCCACATACTTAGTTGCGTTTTTGGCCCTGCTTATTTTCCAACTGGCTCCTTTGGCTACTCTTTAACTTGTTTGCTTTGTGACTACCAATGCTGCTGGCTGCCTAACCACTCTTTCTGGCCCGGCTAACTGCCGGTTCGTTTTTGGGGCGTCTCTGTGCGCCAGCGCACACATGTCTTATTTTCAACGAGATACACGTATTTAGGAATGATGATGGCTTGTTACCATCGTGTTGATAAGCTTGTTTGGATATTTCATTTTTTTTATTTTTTGCAAAAAAACACACACAATTTTCATTGTTTGTTGTTGGGTTTTTTTTGGTATTGCTTACTTACGCGTTCTTTAAAACTGTTTGAGAATTTCTGTTCGTTTTTTTTTTTTTTTTTTTTTTTTGAAGACTGTCTTGTCTGCAAAATATTCTTGGTGTGTTTCTCTCTTTTTTTGCAAAACTTTTTGGGCCAAATATGACATCATGGGCCAATTGTTGTTATGTTTTAGACAAGCGTTTCAAAATGTTTTCCCAAAAATTGCGAAAAAAGAGGTAGATTTTTTTTGTGTTGTTGGTTAAATTTTGTTGAAAACTTTTGTCAACATGTTGAGGAAACAAACAATTTTTTGTTGTTGTATTTTTAAGGTGTAAAGGAAGGCCCAGAAAAAAAAAACTTAAAAATTATTCTGACTGTCTCTTTTGATTAGTCAATAACTGAATGCTTTGCTGTTGTTTTGAGCTGAGAAGAATTTCGTCAATGTCAAGAGGAAGGCATTTTTAGGGATACAGTGGGCACATTATAAGATAACTGAAAAACTAAGCTTTTGATTTTAATAAAATAAACATCATTTTAAAGATAAAATTCCATACTTTGGGAGTTGAGGCTCTACAGCCAACTCTACAAGGTCTTACATCAAACGCGATTTGCCTATATTTCCAATGCATAATTTGAAGTATATGCCTCAGTATTTTCCGCATATCTCGAGAACTGTTATAGCTATCGGAATAATTTAAGCCACTATTTAGAGTCAAGAAATATAGAGACAATATTTTCCTTTAATGTAAATAAGTCGGGCATTAAATAAAAAAGTTACGACCCCCAGAGTACTGATACTAAAAACATTACTATTTTTTGGGGATATGTAAGGTTGATAAAAGTGAGGCCTCGTTTTAAAGATAAGGCTTCATTCTACATAAGTTCCTTTGGTGCTAAGGCTCTATAACTCACTAACAAGGTCTTAGAGATAGAAAGATTCTGAAAATTTCGGTATAAGTAATTTGACAAATATGACTTAATTTTTTCCGCATATCTCGAAAACTTTAATAGCTAATGGAATAATCTAAATCATTTTTAAGAGGTGAGGGGTGTAGAAACTATATCCTTCTTGACTGTAAATTGCCAGGGCTTAAAACCAAAAAGTTATGGACCGCAGAGTATTGATACTAAAAACATATGAAAAATAACCCTATTTTGCGTAACTTAATTTTTTGTGGATATCTCAAAAACTACGTTAGATATTAAGAGAAACTAAAATGAATTTTCAAGTTAAGAGCATCAGTTCCAAAAATCCTTTTCGGATCAAGACGCTATAATCTATATTTTAAGAGATGCCAAAGCAAAGAATTCCGAAATGTTACTTTAAAATTTGTTCAAAGACAAGTTTACATTTTTTGGATATCTTGAAAATTTAGTTGAATATATGGAGCTATATCCAAAAAGAGTTATGGCTACAAAATAAATGAATATATCAAG